TCTGAGGGTTTGGGGGTGGCGACCGCGACCCGCCCGGGTTCATAGTCCGCTGCGTGCAACTCGCGTGCAACGCGAGAGCGCAGGTTCAGCGCAGCCGGGCAAGACCCCAGCTCTTGGCAAGGGAACCGGCTGGGAGCAGGGGGCGCTCCAGAGCAGAGCAGATTGCACCCGGGCTGGGAGGGATACTGGGCCTGGGTGCTTGCTGGCTCCCCTAGATGCCTGGAGCCCCCCGCAACTCGGGGTCTCGCGTCGGACTTGCCTGCAGTACACCACAACTACTGCAGTGAATACAGGCAGCCTCTGGTTACCCCCTGCCCTTTCCAACCGGGATGTATATAAATGTATCACTCCCGCCTCTTACCATGTCACAGACACACACAAACACACACACACACACACACACTTACACTTTTAGAATGTCAATGTCGCACACACAGTTTTTAATAACCTCTCTCTCTCTCTCTCTCTCTCTCACACACACACACACACACACACACACACACAGAATAGCTCTCACACACTGGCCTTAGGGCTATAGGGGAGAACCAACAACGAGAAAACACTTAACCAAAGGCCGATGAGCACGTTACAACGGAGAAAGAGGGAAGTAAACGCACCAGGAATTTGGGCATTTACGTTCAATTAAAAACAAAGACCCCCTCCCACCCAACCCCCCCCCCCAAAGAACTCCCCAGCTAGTTCTTCGCTCCTGTCCAACATCACGCTAGCTTCACACGAACCCCGCTGCCATTTCTTCCCTTCGTTTTTCCGCTAGAAGGGCCCGATCCTGCTCCCAATGAAGTAGCTAGCAACCTCGAGGATCGAGAGGGCTCACCAGCACCCCAACGATGAGACTTTTCCAGCCTACTAACCACTAGGGCCCGATCCTGCTCCCAGAGAATTACGTTGGGCCTCAATAGCCCACTACACAAGTCAGTTTCGGCTCTGGGGGTAGCTAAGATGGGAAGGGCAATCGCCCAGTCTGTGGCCGAGAAAAGGGCAAACGGCAAACGGGGGAAGGCCCAGGTATTTTGCCCGATTTGCTTTTTCAAGGTCAGGCCCGGCAGCCGGGCCCAGGGAGGAGCCGGGGAGCGGACTCCGAGGAGCACCGAGGCAGGAGGCGGGGCGGGTTAAAGGTAGGGGTGGGCAAGGAAGCCGGGCAGGCGGCGTAGGGAGCAAAGCTTTGCCGCCTGCCTGGGCCCAGCCCTGGGCCACCTCGGGCAGAGGCGTCCGTGCTGCAGGCCTGTGGCTGGCAGCTCTTCGCTCAGCGAGCACCGGAGCCGAGGCTCCCTGCCCACCGCCCCCCTCCTCCCGGGGGAGCTGTTTATTTACCCGCAGTCTCCCCTACCCGGGACAGGAGCTTGGAGGAAGCGCAAAGCTCCAGCATCCATCCGCCCGGCGCCCCACCTGCACCGGCCGGGCAGAGGCGTCCGTGCTGCAGGCCTGTGGCTGGCAGCTCTTCGCTCAGCGAGCACCGGAGCCGAGGCTCCCTGCCCACCGCCCCCCTCCTCCCGGGGGAGCTGTTTATTTACCCGCAGTCTCCCCTACCCGGGACAGGAGCTTGGAGGAAGCGCAAAGCTCCAGCATCCATCCGCCCGGCGCCCCACCTGCACCGGCCGGGTAGCGGGCGCGCCTGGCGCCCGCGGGGGGTTAGGAGGGGGTGTTAGGAGCCGGGTTCTGACACACGATGCGCTGGGGGCGGGGTGGGGGGGGCTTTGTCTCTTAGGAAGGCGCCCCCCGGAAGTGTTGTGCTCACGGAAACTTAGGGCTCCGGCTCAGGCGGTCTCCGATGCCTCCCCTCCCACCTGATCCCCTCAACACTTCTCCTTTCGGAACCAGCCCGGCTGGATCTCTTGGCCCCTTGCCCCAGCTCTTCCTCCACATGCTGGGGTGGAGGGGGGTCTCCATTCCTGCAGGCAGCTGTAGCAGCCTAGGAAACTTGTGGGGCGTTTAGGTTTGCAGCACTCAGGCAGCTTTACTTGAACACCGAGGATTTGACATAACATGACACCTTATTACTCCCTTACTGTTTGTTTTAGCGTTGTTCTCCCCCCCATCCAAAGAACTGAGCTAGATCTGTTTGCCCCCCTCACTAGCTCTCAAGTACCAGCAAAATAATTTAGCACCCCCTAAGGAAAACGAACGAGTTTCTAATGTCACGGCAGAAATTTTTAAACAACGTGTTGAATATTTTAAGGTCTTACAAAAAACATCACAGAAGTAGCATTTTAATTTATTCAGTTTGCTCGGTTACATGCCTTAGTCACTCCGGATGTGTTGTGTCTGTATTCAGTGACACTGAAATGATACATTTAGATTTTTTCCAAATTATCTGAGAATTAAGCTTTTTCTTCTGCTCTATTTTTAGCGGTTCCTGTTAGGTTTGAAACGGTTTCTTCAATATTTTGCCATTTGGGTTTCTATTTCTCGGGCTGGAATTTATGTTTGTCTTTTTATTCCTTTGCAAAGATATGTCTGAATGGAAATATGGAGCTAAATTAGATTATAATTCACACTCCGTTCTAATTTCCATGCCTGTGCTGCAAAAAACAACCCTCGTTTTATGCACGAATAAGAATCGAGAGCTCAGGAAAGTAGTTTTCAACCGTGGGAGTTAAAAATACAAACAAGACAATAAATAAAAGGTTGTGTATTTGGGTGCAGAAGGTTGCTACTTTATGTATCGTTGTGATTAAGTGACAATTCGAGCAAGGTTGGACACCTTCTGATATTATTGTGATTGCCTGAAATAAAGAGCTTATTATGCTACCAAATGAGTTATTTAATGTTGAAACTATTTAGATAGATGGCTTGATTTTCAATGAACTCGTGTGTTTTGCCCGTATGGTAGACGGGGAGATTGCATATTCACTAGTGTTTATTATAACGTGTTATTCAATATATGTGTGTTAAGTAACAAAGGAATAGGACCAGGAACAAAGTCAGTGGAAGATATAACGCAATTACCTAATTTTATACTTGAAAGCAATCCTACTAGTTTACTAAGGAAGATGGATTAGACTCAAGTGAAACGTCCCTCGCTCCCTCCGCTCAGTTTGCTTACTGTTTAATTGAATTAGCGAACCACTTGCATTGGAAAATATGATTTTCAAAACTTGCGTATTTGTTCTTCGCAAATTAAATATAAATCCAAATGGGGAGTGACAAAAGATTAGCAAACCATAATATTTTCCCTCTATCAAACCGAGTAAGAGGAGATCTAGTGTTCCTACTACTGCTACATTTATTTGTGAATTTCTGCAGACCTGTTTATTTTCACTTAAACCAACCAATCAGTCTAGGGGCGCTATCAGTAATTGCCCATCAGCACTGTAATTAAAACGGAAATGTTTATGTCAAGGACAACTCCGAATCTGACTTTAATGTGATGAACCTATACAGCCAACGAGCCAATTTATTTATCAGCGTTGCAATATTACTTCCTTCGTTCTGGCAGACAGTGGGGTATATTTCATTTTGATCGCCGGGTGAATAAATCAAATCATTTGTCTTTCATTAGGAATAGCCATGTCGTTGCCCCGCAGTTCAACAAATATTTATTGCACACGGATTTAGAAGTTGACCGGGTAAAGTTTTAGGGCTTTTTTGGGGGGAGAAGAGGGCAGGTGTATTAGAAGGAAAAGCAGAGATATCATAACTAGGAAACAGGTCCAATGATTTCACTGCAGTTTTATCTCGAGCTCACAGAAGTAAGCCCTTTTCAGGGAGAGAATTTCGCCACGATTCAAGCAGCAGGCTTTTCCCCGAGCGGATTCAATTCATATGAAGCTACTCGTTTTGAAAGTGTCAGTTGTGCCACGCGACCCCTGTTTCAGAGACGGGGGCCCTGGATCGTGGGGAGTCACACAACCCGAAAGTAATTGCCTGGCTGGGCGAGGCTGGAGCGCCCATGAACTTTGCTGGGATGCCAGTCGCAGCAAAGAAGGGAGTGTAGCGATGTCAGGCGTAGACCCCAGGTAAAGACAGTTGCGTGTCTTGGTTCCACGCAAGCCCCCTTTGTGGGGAGCCTCACCACACACCCTCCCACGCAGGCTGTGGAAGCTGCTGTGGATCCGCGCAGAATTCCACGTGGACTCTGGGTTCTGCCCTGCGCCAAGCAGCCCGCGCCGGTCCAGCTTTCAAGGCGCCCAGGTTTATTTTCAAAACTGCTCCTGTCAAATGCATTTGCTCGGAGCCACAAAGGGGGAAGTGGAGCATTTGTCTGCGCCGTGGTGCAGGCCGGCCGCGGTGTTAATGCCAGGGTGGGGCTCCGGGAGACAGACACCAGATAAAAGCCGAACGCGCCGAATCCACTAATTAAAACATTGTGTTGGGACCACATTTTATTTCTTTTTTTGATCTGAGCCGGGGCTGTTTTAAAGAAATGTCAGCTCCGCCAGAAAGCGAGCCCGCGAAACCCTATTTCCCTGCGAGTGTGCGGCGCGTTTCAAAGGCGAGTGTGAGCGACTTGAGAAAGGAGATCCCGCTGCGAGAGCTTGCGTGTCGTCTCTTTACCAAACTAAGCTCCTGTCAATCACGCCCAGCCCCGGCCAATCACCAAGCCCCTTTCTGGGAAGCGGCTCATCCCGCTGTGCTTTTTAGTTTTTTTTTTTTTTTTTTTTTTTTTTTTTTTTTTTGCTCCCACTGTAAGGGCTGGCTGAGGAGGGCATGGCTACTGTATCGCGCGCCCCAAACGCTGGAGTTTGCATGACTATTGTGTATGCCTTTCCCTGGCTCACGTGGGCCGTGTTTGTTATGGACACTAAATGTCAGAAGGGGGGTCATTAATTTTGGAGGTTCCCAGGCACCTACCTAGCCCACAATATGACAGGCTGGGTCGAGGTTCACTCCTGGCCCCACCCTGAGGACAGCAATACCGAGCCCAGCATGGCGCTGCCACCTTTGGTCCTTTGGGGGGGGGGAAGGAGGACACCCCTACTGGGACGGTCTTAAAACTCGGCTCCTCTTTCACAGTTGGCCAGATTCGGAAACCGCCCTCGGTTTCTGGCCGGCGATCCCCAGTGGTTCCCCCTCTCGGCTCGGTCTCTTATCCCATCTCCCCAGTAAGCTCTCCCAGGAACCACCATGCCCGGAGCTGAGGAGAATCCCCCCAGAACCTCTTACCATGGCATGTTCAGGATGTATCTAGACTCATCCAGCCCCAGGGGGAAGCAGCCAGCTAGCCCCAGAGCCTCTAACGAGCAGGGGCCACGGAGGGCTGCCAGGGGTCTTCCCATAATTGGAGCTAAGCCCCCTTTCGCCTCTTCGACGGATCTGACAATCCACAGAGAGACCGAAGCGTTCCTCCCTCACCCTGGGCCGCTCATGAAGCAAGAACTGATCTGCAAGTGGACGGACAGCAAAGGACACCCCCGCACCATCCAGGCTTGCTCCAGCATTTTCAGCACCATGTATGAGCTAGTTCACCATGTCACCATGGAGCACGTCGGAGGACCAGACCATGTGTGTGACTGGGAGGGCTGCGCTCGAGAGAAAAAACCCTTCCGAGCCAAATACAAACTCATAAACCACCTCAGAGTGCATACGGGCGAAAGGCCATTTCTATGCCCGTTCCCGGGGTGCGAGAAAGTGTTTGCAAGATCGGAAAACCTGAAGATACATAAGAGAATCCACACAGGTTAGTTAGAACTACAAGTAGATCTGGGAGGGGGTTCGTTCGCTTCCAGAACTTGGAAGGGTTGAACTAGCGCTACAACAATAATAAAATAATAGTAACACTTTATTATCCATTTCCCTTCCGTTTTAATGGAAAACCCCCAACGTTGTTGCATGTGCCATATTTACCCCTCGATGCTTTTTATAACAGGGAAAATATTTTTGCTGTGTTTCTGGCTCCTAATTGAAAACAAGATCATCGTTTTTTTTACTAAAGTTCCCCCTTTCCTCCTCCTCAAACTGTATGTTCCCAGGCGACTGTCCAAAGGTGAACCCCCCAACCAAACCACTCACCCAGCCACACTTAATATTTCTCGAGTCAATAATATCCTAATATTGTCTGAAGGGAAAACGCACCCCTCCCGTTCACACTCAAATTCCAGTGACATTATATTCCCGTAGAACCTCCCAGCGTTGACAAAATGAGTCTGCTTTAATGTGGTTATGTCATAGCAAACAAAAAAGGCAGTCATCTTTTTTCCTGTTAGAAGGAAGAAATTGAGAGAGCGAGGAGCGAAAGAAACGTCACGCCGAAATGTAAAAAAGAATGATTGCCTTGTAAAAATATGCTTTCCTTGCTCGAATGTTGCCCCAGCGTTTTGTCTAATTAAATTTCCGTGTCCCTAGTTTTTAAGATCCCTTCAAATCTACTCCCTGCCACCTCTCCCAAATACTGCCTGCCCTCCACACGCTTTGATTACTATCTCTCCCTCGCCAAAAGAAAAACGTGAACAAACGCTGAGCGGGAAGGAGTAAAGGCTACCGAGGGTTATTTAGCAATTCGATCCAGTTTGGACACATCGAAATGTGAAACAAATATTTCAAAACCAGGGATTGTAGAGGCATGCTGGGAAATTCACTGTCTGGCTGCATCTCTCTATTCCCCCAGACAAAGAACGCAAATTCTGACACCAGAGAAATGAGTCAACATACGGGAGGCTTCCTTTTGGAAGGCAAGGGCGGGGATCCGCATGGGGCAGCGAGCTCAGGCGCTGGACTAGTAATGATGATTGTCCGGACCCGAACCATTCTGGGTGTTGTTTTGTTTAGTCTCGTGTTTTGTGCCTTCGCCCCCCCCCCCCCAGCCACAAAAGCTGGGGAGCTAAACACAGAAAGTCACTGGCACGAAAAAAATAAAACAAGCCCCAAACAAATCACAATTACAACCCGCCCTGACTGTGAAATCCCCAGGTGGTTTGGTTCTTGGAAATGGCCTGGCGCGGGCACGTCCGTGTGCCCCTTCCAGCCGCGAGGGCTCGGTCCCGGCTCCGGGTGAGCATGTGGGTTTCTGTTCCAGGGGAGAAGCCGTTCGTGTGCGGGATCGCTGGGTGTGCCCGGAGCTTTGCCAACAGCAGCGACAGGAAGAAGCACGCCCACGTGCACTCCAGCGACAGGCCGTACCGCTGCAAAGCCCCCGAGTGCGAGACGTCCGTGTGCCCCTTCCAGCCGCGAGGGCTCGGTCCCGGCTCCGGGTGAGCATGTGGGTTTCTGTTCCAGGGGAGAAGCCGTTCGTGTGCGGGATCGCTGGGTGTGCCCGGAGCTTTGCCAACAGCAGCGACAGGAAGAAGCACGCCCACGTGCACTCCAGCGACAGGCCGTACCGCTGCAAAGCCCCCGAGTGCGAGAAATCCTACACCCACCCCAGCTCCCTGCGCAAACACCTGAGAACGCACGGCAGCCGCCCGCCAGCCTGCTCCACCGCCGCCACGCCCCGGCCGGGCGCAGAGCCCCCAAGAGCCGGCGCCTGGCAGTCATCGGCCAACCCTGCTGCGTGCCCCACCAGGTGTGGCCCCTCCAGGTGCCAGGCAGGGGAGAGGAACGCTCCGAGCCGGCGGCGCCCCCCCCAGCCTGCCCCCCCGCCGCCACGCCCCGGCCGGGCGCAGAGCCCCCAGGAGCCGGCGCCTGGCAGTCATCGGCCAACCCTGCTGCGTGCCCCACCAGGTGTGGCCCCTCCAGGTGCCAGGCAGGGGAGAGGAACGCTCCGAAGGTGGAAAGAAGGGGCGCCTCCCACGCAACCGCCCGCTGCAGACTCGCCCCCAGCTAAAGCGCACGGGGCGCTCCGAGAGCTCCCGCAGGTCTCCAAGCCCGCTTATACTCCCGGCCGGGCTGGGAGTCAGGGCACAGCAGAGACAGCCCACAGCAGGCGTGACAGAAACACTCCCCCTTCCAGGCCTCAATCTGCCTGCGAGTCACTTTCCCAGGGCCAAAGGGACCCTTCTTTCCCATCCTGCCCGTGGCTGCGAGGCTGCAAACCCTGGTGGGAATTGGACCATGGGCGGAGGTGGCCCGCCCGCCACCTGCTTCGGGGGTGACCCGCCTGCAACGTTGCCGGGGGCTGGCAATTTAATGACTAAATGGAATCCCAGCCCGGCTGGTGTGCGCCAAAACCAGCCCATTTCCCTCCCGCCACGGCACCAACTGGAAAGACCTGGCTCTTCCGCGCCATACACCCGGACCTGCGTCCTTTCCCGCAGACAGCAGGTGCTACGCTAAAGGCCTGTCTCTCTCCAGCACACTGCCGCACACGTGTTACTCCGTCTGTGCGTGTTCCGTACGGAGCTAAGCACAGGTACCCCCCGCTAGCCAGGAAATCAACCCGCACGGACTTCAGCAATCGGTGTGCTCCGTGGGTTCTTTCTGTGGCGAACGCGTAGCCTTTGCGCTCAGGGGCGCGGCGTGGGCGAGCCAGGTGGAGGCTGCCCCAGTTACATTCGCAGCCGGGTAGAGCTGTTGCAAAAACAGGGTTGTTAAGCCTCTGATTAGAGAGCCCTATTTAAAGCACAAAACGCGTGACGTGTCGTTTTCCTCTTCAGCATTGGCGTGCGCTGGATTGTTTTGCCTGTGTCCCCGCCGTGCGCTGTGTGCGCGCGTTTGGTGTCGCTGTTTGTCGAACCATTTGAAATAAACAAGCGGACGTGCTCCCAGTTCGGACAGGTCGGGCCGTAGGGAGATTGTAACGTGGCCAGTTGTGCGTAGAGCGCAGAAAAGGAAATGATTCTGTAAGCTGGGCTGGACAGGAGCTACTCCGATCTGGGGCTTTTCTCCTGGATAGAGCCCAATGCTCCAAGTCTAGCTGCCATTGTTGTAAGCCTCTCGATGACAGCTCATTCTTTGGCCCAAGTCGCTTCGTTGTAATTACTCATGAATTCACCTCTCCTCCCCTCCCCACAGTCGGGAAAATTGATGTGAAATCACTGGGAATGCAGCTCGATTATTTGCGTGTGGCTTCTCCTTTGCCAGGTAAGGCGGCAGCCTTTTATCTTAAAAGTACCCATTAAAAGTCACACTTTTGAGGCGTATCCTGGCATTTGTAACGACTTTGTATGGATGCAATTCTCAGCGGCGCCTCTCACCCTAATGACACGCAAAGCCAAGCCATGCAAAAAAACGACTTTCCTTTTCACGTGCCCACCCCATGAAAACACGTGTCGTATTTTTAATCTATATTATATTTATATAAATATTTCCTAATCAACTTGTGTCGGATTCCCCAGGCTATCAGCTATTAGCAATTCTCTTTGGAAGCCCTTGCCAAGTGTACCACATGTCAGTCAGATAAAAGATTCTCAGGATCAAGACTTATATAACACAACTGTGTGAGCCTTTAACGCGGGTGCCTAGAACTCTTTGGGTTTACACCCCGGGGTTAACTCGCATCTGTGTCGGACTTCGAAGCTCTTTGAGGGACCCGATCCCGAGACCCTTTCCTGCTCACCCCTGGAGGTAGGGGATCAGTCCCTAATGGCTTCATTGCTCATCTAGCATTCGGAGACTGCTTATCAGCGTCCAGATGGCCCATTCTCCACACCTGGAACGGACCAAAGCGAGCTCTAGTCCCTGCAACTTTCTATCCCAGGGACCAGCAGCCAGCGTCTGGAGCCAAACTCTTCTGTGGTGATTGCGCCTCCTGTGCCTTCTAGATCAGATCTAGCCCCTACAACTAGAGCCCAGGGAACCAGCTGCAGGTAGGCAGGGCGGAGACAGAGACTGCCAGGTACTGCCACCCTATCTTACAGGGGCCTGGAACAATTTGTGCAGTGGGGGTGCGGAGAACCCCCCCCCGCCCCTTTCCAGCGCCCTGCTATCTTGGGAGTTATGTCTCCAAAGGAAACCGCTTTCTAGACTCAGAGGGGAAGCCCTGTTGGTCTGTAAGTCTTTTTTTTTAAATGAGTGGTCCTGTAGACTCAGAGGGGTAGCCCTGTTGGTCTGTAAGTCTTTTTTTTAAAATGAGTGGTCCTGTAGCAGGATGGATGGATGGATGGATGGATGGATAGATAGATAGATAGATCTGGAGGTATACGGGGATAGATAGATGGACAGACATGGGGCATAGGAGATAAGTAGATATAGGTAGATAGGTAGATCTGGGGGTGGACAGGGCCACACAGCCAGGCAGACAGATCGATCTGGGGGTGGACGGGGATACACAGACAGGCAGACGGACAGATCGATGGGGGGGGGGGGGACAGGGACACACAGTCAGGCAGACGGACAGATCGATGGGGGGGGGGGGGACAGGGACACACAGTCAGGCAGACGGACAGATCGATGGGGGGGGGGGGGACAGGGACACACAGTCAGGCAGACGGACAGATCGATGGGGGGGGGGGGGACAGGGACACACAGTCAGGCAGACGGACAGATCGATGGGGGGGGGGGGGACAGGGACACACAGTCAGGCAGACGGACAGATCGATGGGGGGGGGGGGGACAGGGACACACAGTCAGGCAGACGGACAGATCGATGGGGGGGGGGGGGACAGGGACACACAGTCAGGCAGACGGACAGATCGATGGGGGGGGGGGGGACAGGGACACACAGTCAGGCAGACGGACAGATCGATGGGGGGGGGGGGGACAGGGACACACAGTCAGGCAGACGGACAGATCGATGGGGGGGGGGGGGACAGGGACACACAGTCAGGCAGACGGACAGATCGATGGGGGGGGGGGGGACAGGGACACACAGTCAGGCAGACGGACAGATCGATGGGGGGGGGGGGGACAGGGACACACAGTCAGGCAGACGGACAGATCGATGGGGGGGGGGGGGACAGGGACACACAGACAGGCAGACGGACAGATCGATGCGGGGTGGACAGGGACACACAGACAGGCAGACGGACAGATCGATGCGGGGTGGACAGGGACACACAGACAGGCAGACGGACAGATCGATGCGGGGTGGACAGGGACACACAGACAGGCAGACGGACAGATCGATGCGGGGTGGACAGGGACACACAGACAGGCAGACGGACAGATCGATGCGGGGTGGACAGGGACACACAGACAGGCAGACGGACAGATCGATGCGGGGTGGACAGGGACACACAGACAGGCAGACGGACAGATCGATGCGGGGTGGACAGGGACACACAGACAGGCAGACGGACAGATCGATGCGGGGTGGACAGGGACACACAGACAGGCAGACGGACAGATCGATGCGGGGTGGACAGGGACACACAGACAGGCAGACGGACAGATCGATGCGGGGTGGACAGGGACACACAGACAGGCAGACGGACAGATCGATGCGGGGTGGACAGGGACACACAGACAGGCAGACGGACAGATCGATGCGGGGTGGACAGGGACACACAGACAGGCAGACGGACAGATCGATGCGGGGTGGACAGGGACACACAGACAGGCAGACGGACAGATCGATGCGGGGTGGACAGGGACACACAGACAGGCAGACGGACAGATCGATGCGGGGTGGACAGGGACACACAGACAGGCAGACGGACAGATCGATGCGGGGTGGACAGGGACACACAGACAGGCCCCAAGCAGAGCGGTTACTGCCCTGGCCTCAGCGGAGTCACTCCGGATTTGCACTGGTGTAAACGAGGCGGGCAGAATCTAGGGGTGGGTGCGGCCTCAGCCACCAGGGGCCTTCCCAGCCCAGGCAGGGGGCGGGATGCGCAGAGCTCCTAGGGCACCAGCAGGGCGGGCGGGCCAGAGTCGTAGAGAGGCCGCCAGCGAAGGCGAACATTTCTCACGCTGCGCTGACCCCTGGGCGCAGGCTGGGCGGTGACTGTCGGCAGCTCGGATTTGCTCCGGGGCTTCTGCTTGTGCAATGGACTCAAGAGATGTAGGGCCAGATCCTGATCCACACGTTGCCCTTGGCCGCAGGTAGCCCCCCCAGGGCATGGCCAGCCTCCCAGACTGGGCTGTGATTTGGAAGCAATAAATCCTGCTCAAATCCGGCTCACCCAGGGGAGCCCGGTGAAGGGGGAGGGAAGAGGAAGGGTGTGTTAGGGGAAAAGTCAGGATTAAGCTGCATTGTGCTAGGTGCTGTACAAACATACAATAGCCGGGGCCCCTTTCATTAAGCATTTACCAGCTAAAAGAGAAGGTGGAACAGATGGGATGAAACAAACAAGTGACCCAGCCAGGGTGAAAGAAACCAGACAATACACAGAACAGATTAGAAGAACTCCCCTTGGCTTTAATCAGGGTTGATT